AGCCAGGGGAAACCGAATCTCAATGGTGCTTCCTTACTGAGCTAAAGTGTAGATTAAGTGAGATAACATACTCAAAGCACACATGGCAGTGCCACCAACAATAACCAATCTATTATTATTATTAATATTATGACTTCCTCTGTGTTAGTCACTTGGCACGTACTTTATATGTATTAAAACAACCTTTGCTATGGATGTCATAATTACCCTCATCTTACAGATCAAGAACCTGAAGCCCAAACGATGAAATGACCCCTCGTCATACAAGTCAAAGCTTGCGGCTAAGATAATAGGTTCACAAAACATTATTTGACTCCCCGCCACCCACCCCGGCTAAGAAACGTCTGCAGCTCCCAGGACTGCTCCCCGATGCCTATTCCACCAAAACGGTGCTTTCCAGTCTAGGAATGAAACTGGCCTGCGCCGGGTCCCTGAGGAATTCGGTAGGCTTTATTAGTACTGGACCCCGGAGAAAATCCTAGGCACAAAGCTCTATATGATGAAAATGTTTTGCCTTGTCTGTATTCCTTAATTGCTAAGGTACCTAATCAACTTTTCGTGACATTTTAAAACCATAAATTAAAAGTTGTAAGTATAGGAGATGCAGATTATATCTTTTTTTACGACAATTTAAAAACATCATGTCTGATTATGGACAATGAACATGCCCACACAGCCTCTGGGCTCTGGTTCTGCAGAGCTGGCTGCAGAGCTGGCTGCCGGCTCCCATGCCCTTGCCTTCCTGCCTTGCCTCGTAACCATGGAGAAGCATGCACAGGGCACAACTGTGGAATGCAGCTGCCACTGACTTCAACAGTGTTTCTTCAACATGCTGCTAAGAGGTGGCTCTCAAGTTTTAATAACTCAGGTTGAAGGTGTTATCAGAGGCCCAGGAGACTACGAATGGGCTGTATTCATGCGTCGTGTTTCTACCTGGACCACAGAACCAGAGGTGGAAGGAATCGTAGAGATCACCTTACCGACAAGTAAATGGAGTGTGGACAACATGAGTGGTTTCACAGGCCACACAGTTAGCGCCAAACCTGGTCTTGTTAGAGGGTAGAACCTCTCCCTCTGTCCATCCTCAGAATCTAGAAGTGTTTCTTCAAACACACTTTCTAGATCCAAAGGTCAGAGGGCACCCATTACTCTCAGCTCCAATCATAGCTGTTGTTGAAGGGTGAGTGTGAGTCAGGCCAACTGAATCCAATTGCCTTACATGTGTTTATCTCATGGACAAAGTCACTGATCCTCTTAATAGGACACAGTACAGAACCAGGTGCAGGGCTTGACCCAAGCTGCAACTGGCCTTCATTTTCTAGGGGTCTAATGTGACCCAGGACATCTATGCTCTATGATCTTGAACGTCCAACAGAGAAGTCAACTCCACACTTGGGCCTGGAGTGGGTGATTAGTGGGTAATATTTGTGAGGGCCTCTCACTGCTGAGCCATCTAGAAAGTAGCACCATTCTCCTGGGAAGATGCCAAAATGGCTATATCTTGGCACCAAACTCTTCATTGCAAGGGTGTCATAGCCCCTGCCATGGCCTCATTTCAGTCCTTGATCTTTACCATCTCAGTCCTTGGTCCAAGATCTTTGCCCAGATCTTCTACCCTTTTCCTCAGATTCACCTTGTCCTTATGGCTCCAGTCCAGCCCTTGTCTTGTCTAGAAAGCACCCCTGCTTGGCCCATGCTCTTGTATCTATATTACTCCATTACTCCTCAGCACACAGAAATTCCTTTTGTAGGTGGCTTGGGCAATGTAAGCATTACCACATGCCGAGCCATGTCCTCCCAGGGTAGAATGTTCTTCCCGGTGGACAGTGCGCTGCCTGGCATCAGCAACCCCATCTTTTGCATCCTCTATGTCTACCCTTACACCCACCAAAGAAAGAACCCAGGGGATAGATCTCCAAACAGTGGGGCTGACTGCCCCCCAGCTGTAGGAGAAGGGATGCACGGGATTCCCCTGGTGACTCACCTCATTCAGCTTGACCCAGTTGAAGGACTTCAGTGGGTGGGAAGGTTGGGGGACACACTTCTTCCTGAGTGAGACATCACTGCTGGGGAAAGGGTCTGGAGGGACAGGCAGGCCAATGCCGAAGCAAGGTGGGGCGCCAGGGGGAGTGGGAGGCCCACCAGGTGGAAGGGGTGGTGGCGGTGGGGGACAGCAGGTGAATGGTAAAGGGGGTGCAGGTGGAGGCAGGTCATTGGTTGTCAACGAGGAAGTCAAGGTAAGTGGGCCTCCAGGGGGAGGTGGGGAAGATACAGGTCCTGTCTGTGAGGAGACAGAAAAATCAGAAGAACAAAGCCTTCAGCAATGATACCTTTCAGGTGTCCCACTATTATTCCTTTCCTTATTCTTATTCTCCATCTACACTAGATCTGCCAATCCTGCTCTTAACCTCCCACCTGCACGGAGCTCCCATTTTCTCTCTGTATCTCAAACATCCACCACACACACAACCACAGATAGATAGACACAAACGTCAAACACTCACACACAGACACTGAGCAAAGTCACAGTTGCCACAATGCAACAGCAGGGTTGACACAAAGAGTTGTGTAGGCCACTACCTGCTGAGGGCGGGGAAGCCAAAAGCCCACCTGCACTCTACTTCCAAGGTGTGCTTCCTGGGACAGCACCACCCAGAAGGAGCATTACTTTTACTAAGTAACACAAAGGTGTCACCCTTACAGCTTCAGGAGCCCCCTCTATGCGGGGATGAGGCCCCCCTCTCTTCTCCCTCATCCCGGGATCCTTAGCCCCTCCCCACACCTGCTCTTCCCTCCATATCCTGAAGGTCTAGGCTCATCTATGTGGAAGGAGAGGAGAGTGCCCACGTACTGAGATCTCACTGAGTTGGGATACCAGCTCAGCCACTTGTCCCCGAGCCTGGCGCAGCTCCTGGGACTCTCGGGCCAGCTTGTCCTTCATCTTGTTCAGCGTCCGCATCATCTCTTCCTTCTCCAGAGTCTTTGTCTCACACTCTCGCTCCTTTCTCTCCAGCTTGCTCACCAGTTCCGTGTGTTCTGGATGATGTGGGGCGGGAGAGGAAATGGAGAGAGAGAATGTGAGTCTGCGTGTGTCCCCCTCCAGAGGAGGTGGGTCCTGGGCTGGCCAGCAGAAGGGGTGTGTGGAGCGTGTAGCAGGTGTAGGCAGAGCTCCTCACCTTTCCGGAACTTCTCTGCCTGGTCTCGCCACTGCTTCACTTCATTCTCATTGATGAGCCTGGTGGGGAGCAGAGGGAGGGTCCTGTTGAACGTTGGCACTCAACCTCCCATTGGTGCCTGGACCCCAGTCTATCTGGCCACATCGAGGAGGGCAGGATTTTGACTCTCCGGATGTTCCTCCAGGTCCCCATCCCTTCCCAGTTCTCACTGTGTGTTTCTCCATGGACTGTGAAAGCTACAAGGACCCTCAGGTGCCCTGTAATCTAACCCCTTTGTGAAACAGTTGAAGCTCCTGAGATGAGACTGGAGACAAGATTTTAATGGTAGAATTAGGCCCAAATCTCAGGCCTTCCTTAGCTGTAATGATTTGTACCCCTTTGTAAAAACAGGTTTTTGCATTGACAGAGATCAAAATATTGGCACTACCATGGTGCAGGCTTCTAAAGACCAATGCGTGAGAGTGAGAGAGGCCACCCATTCCAACAACACAGAATGAGGGTGAAGAGGGGGGGTGTCTAAATTATAAGAAGTCCTCATTCGCATCAAACTCTTGCAACTGGGATAAAAGTAAGCTTTCATTTAGACATTGAGGTACAAGGGAGGTGAAACCCCAAGGTGAGACCCCAGTAATCATGTCTTTGGTAAACCTGAGAATGTGGAAGAGTGAGATCCATGACTCTTGGCCTCCTCAACCAAGCTAAGGCTATAAACAGGGGACAGTGTGGAGGGGAAGTAACTTGTGCAGAGATTTCTTTGGGGAGAACCACCGCCATCATCCCCGGTGCTGCCACTTCCTTCACTACCATCTGTGAAATGGCTTCTTTGAGCCTCTCAGAGAGTTTTGACCCAGGTTCCTTGACACTGGGCAGGAGGCATGGTGGACTGGGGTCTGACTTGGGGCTGGGCAGGTCCAGAGAGTGAGGAAGCATTAAGCAGGACAGCGCTGCTGAGCTGGGGCCCAACAGCTCTCTAGAGTTTGTTGGCAGTAGCTGAATTGTTTAAGAGTCATTTTCTGCTTGGTGTTGAAATGCAATACAACAAATCAGTGAGAGCCTATTTAATCTCCTTAAGGGCAACTGGCTCAGACTTACGCTGAAAAATAAGTAAAAGCTTAACGTTAAAATTTTAAAATTAAAATTCAGTGTTTAAAATTAAAAATTTATGCTGAAAGATACATAAACGTTTCAAATTAAAATTCAGTGTTTAAGTTTAAAATCAATATTCAGAACATAAGGTCTGAATATGATTGATGTGACTTGGAACTTGCTCTCTGTTCCTCTGTACCCAGGGTCAGACAAAGGAAGACCTCGGGCTGCGCCATCCTTGTCCCATAACCTCATGGCTAAATGGTCTTGCCCTGCATCAGCGGTTGGAAAACCTCTAGAGGGACAGAGGTTTACATACTGTGTACAGTCTCTGCTGCAGATTCTTGTGTTTTTAACAACCCTTTTAAAGTGTAAAATCTCTTCTTAGCTCATGGACCATACACACACAAGTTGGGGAGTTCGCCCACAGGCATGGCCTGCTGACTCCTCCTCTGTGTTGATGAGTTTAAACTCCTCCTCTATCCACTCCACTCAATGGACCAGTGAGAGGTAACCCCCAGCTGTGCTGTCCAATATGGTGTCACTAGCCATATGTCATATGGTTATTTGATTAAAAGGAAATGCAATGTAAAATTCAGTTCCTCAGTCACACCAGCCACATATCAGTGCTCGGCAGCCACGTGTGGACAGGGTGGATATGGACCACTTCTGTGATCTCAGAGTTCCTTTGGACAATGCTGCTCCAGGCCGGTGTGGAGATGTCTGGGGTGAGAGGGGGAGTGAGACCCCCAGGTAGGAGAGAGATGAGAAGGAGGAGGAAGACAGGGGAGGGCTCGCCACTGCTCACATGTTGACGATGTTCTTGACGTTGAAGTTCTCCAAGGGAGCCAGGTCAGGGTCCACGCCCCGCTCATCCTGGAGGACAATCTGCTGTAGGATGCGGTCCAGGAGCTGCCACTGTTGCAGGTAGCCGCCATTCCGCTTGTCTGAGGGACACAGGTATCGCATCTACACTGAGCCCTGGAGCCCCTGGAGCCTCACCCTAGAGTCACTGCCTGGGCCCAGGCTGGTGAGATGCCCCCCACCCCCTTGGCAAGCTCCCAAGGGGGCGGGAGGCAATGCAATTGCTGATGATGGAGAATCTCAAATCCAGCCATTTCTTGATTACCTGTGACTGACCAGTTTGACTGTGTCAAACCTCTGGACATATTTCTCTGCAATGCTTCCTGTCTGCTTTTCTTCCCTGTGGGCACCCAAGCATGGTAGGCCTTGGGAATGCAAATTGCTTTTTCAATTACCTTAAAAAAAAGCCTTTCAGAAGGCAAATCTGCTCCAAAATATTACATGCTGAATAAGGAAGTCTGCAGGGAAATTTTTATAAAAGAAGAGGTTTTAGGGCAATATCTATGCTATTGTTCTACAGAGAAAGATGAATGGAAACTAATTGCAGGTGTGCACAGAGAGGGAATCAGACTGGATCGGAGAAGTGGTGATGGAACCCAGGAAGGTTTGTTTTGGTGAAGGTGACCCTGAACTCTGAAGGCAAAGGCATTGTGTGTTGTGTTCGATCTCACAGGGTCCCACTCTCATCCCCTCTAATCATAGTCTGGCTGGCATAGACGCTCTTCATTGGTTCTTGATCCCCTATACTTCATCTCTGCTAACCACCAAGGAAGGTCAACCAGAGTGATCCTGACCTTGAAGTCAAATCATTAATGCCTACAAGATGGAAGGTCGTGTCTGTAAAGCCCCTTCTGAAGTAGATAGAGAGACCCAGACATGTGCTCATGGGACACCAAGCACAGGGACTTGGGACAGAAGTCAGGTTTCCCAGGACCTTCCCGTGTCTTCCATGAAGACCTCTGCACTGACTTTTGGAGAAGAACTGAGAGGTTTCCAATCCCAGCCACTGCGTCTGTTTTTTTTTTTTTCCACCACCCCACTGACACAGGCATTGCCATGTGGTGTCATGCTCCATTTACCTTTCACCCAGGAAACCAGGGTGGGGCCAGGACACTGGCTCACAGAAGCAGAACACGTGTCATCTAGAGCCCTGACCCCAAAGAAATAGAAGTTCCTTCCTATGCAAAGACTGGCTCAGCCTCAAGTTCATCCACTGAAAACAAGATCGTAATGCTCACTCTGTACATCATTCTGAGGTTCAGAGACACTGTGCCAAAGGCCTCACACCGCACCTGGCCCAGAGCTGGCACACAGTAAACTGTCCTTGTCACCTTCACCACCACCACCACCTTCACTACCACCAAAGAGAGTCTGTCTAGGTTGACCACAATTTTTCAAATATTCCATTTTGTGACGAGCTTACATACCAAATGGTACAATTTCAAGTTGCATGCTGGAGTGGCTTATCAATAATTATGTGTAATTTATGCAGTCACCGTGCACACTTGGATCTTAAGAGCTTAGCATCTGCTCCCGTAGATGCTGACATTTGAAAAGAGAGGCAGGGGCAAGGGTATTAGGGTGGGTTCCAGCAAGGACTGGCTGGAGGAATTGATTTTCAAAAAATTAGCCTGCTTATTGCACATCTGTGCCATCCCCCAAACACAGACCTTTTTGGAACCCCCCAGGAAGTCTGCTCATCCCGTCAGAACTGTCTGATTTCATGGTGATCAAGTACTGTTTGTTGGACTGGGATATTGGCACTGCTCGGGGCCAAGTCCAGCAACTGCCCAAGGTGATAGTGGAAGTCCTGCCCTTAGGAGGGAGGGAAGAGCAGGGCCTGAGTCCTGGCCTGACCTCCCGGGGCTGGCTGAGGAAGTGGCAGGTGCTGGCTACTCACAGGGCATCTGCAGGCAGTGGTGCAAGACAGACAGCAGGCAGGGGTAGGCCTCCGTGTGCTTCAGCTTCCGGTGGATCAGCTCAAACATCTGGGAAGCACTCTTGGTGTCGATGTGGACCTGGGGGTTTGGGGGCAGCAGTGATTGGTTGGGGGAGACAGTGAGGAAGAGAATAGGGGAGAGAAGACCCTGCCTCCATCCACTGCACCATCCCCCAGGAGGACCCACCTTCCCCTGCCTCAGGCCCAGGGGCGAGAGGGAGATAAGCTAATTATATAACCAGGGTTTCTCAACCTCGGCCTATTGGCATCTTGGACCAGGTCATTTTTGTTGTAGGGGCTGCCTTGTTCACTGTAGGGTGTTTGGCAGCATCCTGGCCTCTATCAGATGCCAGCTGCATCCTCCTCGCATTAGTTGTGACAACTTAAAAGTGTCTTAAGACATAAATGTCCCCGTGGGCTGGGGGTGGGGGCTGCTAAGTCGCCCCTGGTTGAGAACTACTGATTCAAACCCAGGGGCTGTCTATCAGATGCCAGTGGCATCCTCCTCGCACTAGTTGTGACAACTTAAAAATGTCTCAAGATATGTCGCCCCTGGTTGAGAACTACTGATTCAAACCCAGGGAAGGAAGCAGGGACACAGGTGAGTGAAGAAGCACGTGGCACACGGGTCCACAGCCTGGGCTCAGCCCCCGGCCTGCTCTCCGGTTGTGACAACAGGCCAGCTGCCCGGCCTCTCTAACCTGCTTGTGTGTCTATAAATCCAGGAACTTTGAGAGAATGTACAGGATGGTGGTTCGTGACTGAAGCACCACCCAAAGCAGGTTTCTATTTGGATGGGGTTTTATAGTACAAAATTTAAGCAGCAGAGTTGTGTGTTTCAGGGTTACTAGGGCTAAAATGAAAATATGATTTTGTTTGCTAAGCATGATCTGGTGAGTGATGGGAGGTGGCGACTCAGGATCGCTAGAAGGCAGGGGAGAGTCGTCCAGGAGCAGCATTTGAGACTACTCAGCTGAAAGAAAGAATGTCTCTCTTTCCTCTGGGGGTTGTGACCCGCTAGGGGGTAAACACTCTACCAGGTGAAACCCGCCAGGTGAGGCTCACCAGAGCCAACATACTGCCGGGCATCCAGAAACAGGACCTGGCCATGGGGGGACCCACCAGGGAACCCAACCAACGCTAGACCCACCAACACAGGAGCTGTAGAAGAGGCTGTGGGGCCACCTGGACGGCCACAGTCACCTCCCCCTGGCAGGCGCCTCACCATGTCAAACCTCCTGGCTAGCTCCAGGTCATCCTCATTCCGGACCATCTCGAAGAAGTCTAAATGCCTAGAGAGGATGGGAGCATAGAGAGCGCAGACATTAGCATCAGGACGTCCTTGAAGGCTTACAGCCCCTTCAAGCCCCCACCAGCTAAACCTGAAAGCTTCATTCAGGTGAGGCCAATGCCAAACCAGAAGGAAGCAGCTGTCTGTAGGCAACACTCCCCTGTATAGACTCCCTCAGGGAGGCCAACCCAGGGCTTTCTCGATGTCAGCACTACTGACATCGGGGTTGGATTACCCTTGGTTATGGGAGGTTATATCAGTTGCAGGAGGTTCAGCAGCATCTGACTTCCACCCACGAGATGCCAGTAGCACCCCCCCCCCCTTCAGTTGTGACAACCAAAAATGTCTCCAGGCATTGCCAAATGTCCCTGGGGTGGGGGTAAAATCGCTCCCAGTCAGGGACTACTGTCCTACATATACCTTCCCAGTGTTCGCATGTTGTCCCCATGTAAGCCCTCAAGGTCAATCTTACTCATTTTCCACCCCTTCACTCTCCTCTCCACTTCAAAAGGATTCACCCTCTTTCCCTTAAGGTCCAGTGTAATAAAATGCCTGTACCCATGGGACAGAACCAGAGGGGCTGCTAGTAACACTCGGGAATGTAACTGTGCCCTTGACCAACAAAGGGCTTTATGGCTTGTCTTCTGAGTGGGCCATTTATGTTGAGCAGGAGCACACTGTAGGACATTCAGCATTTCTGGTCCCTAACAACCAGGCAGTCTGAAAAACCAAACAACACTCCCACATGTTTCCAAATGCTCCCCAGCGGGGAAGTACTGCCACGGTTGAGGACTACAGGGTCCACCTGTCTATAACATCAGAGATGAGACAGCAGGTCAGCAAAGAGGACGGGTAGGGATATAGGTGAGACATGGGACAAGGGGATGGGGAACCAGAGCCCGCCCCACACACAGAGCTGATTCTGCATGGATGTTGGGTGTGGCAGGTGGTCTCCAGTGGGAAGGGCAGCCTCCATGAAGGTTGTGACCATTACCCACCAAGGCTCTGTCCCCATAGGTCTGCCATGGGGATGGGTGGCGTGGGCCTTACTTGTCCAGGATGGCGTTCTCGTGCTGCCGGAGTTTGTCAATCACAGGCTGTATCCCCAGCATCAGGAACTCGTACCGTAGATGTAGGCGGAACTCCAGATTGTCCTAGGGGGTCAGCAAGGAAGGACCAGGCTCTTTGGCTAGTCTCAGTTTCCACAAGAGTCCCCAGTGGACCCTCACAGCCACTGCAGTCATCATCCCTCCACTTCTGCAGCCCACTCAACTGGAACTGCTTCAAGTCCCAGAGTCCCAAGGAAGGGTGGGAGGAGACATCTTTTGATGTCGTTAATCCACTCCCTGTAGGTCTCCTGCCTCATCTCCGTTGAGTCTCGTAGCTTTTGGCATCAAAGGGCAGTGTTGTACAGGGATACAAAACACAAGCTTTGGAATCAGAGAGATCTTGGTTCAAATCCCTGCTCTGTCACTTTCACTAGTTTTGTGACTTTGGGAAAGCCTTAGTTTCCTCATCTGTAAAATGGTCATGATATTACCTATAGCAAGCATGTGAAACTCAAAGCTCAACACGGGCCAAATAAACGAGGCATGTGGTCCGCGGACTGCGAGTTTGACATGCTTGACCTACAGGAAGGGTGTTAGTAAATATTACCTGGTGAGTTATGGTTACCAACTAATCAGAACAGATGTCAGCCATAAATAGCTAGTAATGACAAAGGTGTTGTCAGCATCTTAGGGACAGATTATTCCCCAAATCCACCTCACCTAACTGAGGTCATCAGAATTGGGTGAAAAAACAAACCAACCAAAAAACATGCTGGCAGAAAAAAAGGGAAAAGTACAGAATATTGAAGTGCCCCTTTTATCCTTCAATAAGCTGACCTTGACTGAGGCATCTGACTAATTATTCTTTAATTATTGCTATTTTTATGGTCTGAAAATCCCATTCTGACCCCAAAGGAAAGAAATGAGAAATCAGACCTCCTAACAGAAGGCGCTAAAAGAGCATGACTAGCCAACCCAGAAACCAGTCCACAGCAGATCTTTAGAAAACTCTAAAAAGAAGGGCCAACACTTTTCCTCTTCCCATAAATCATCCCACCGCCCTAAGCCACCATCAGCCAGCCCAGATGGGGTTTGTCCATGACACACATCATGCACGATGCTACCTGTGCAGGACACTCCCAGGAGCCTCTCCTGACAGCAAGGTTAATGACAAGCTATTCCTTCTCAGCCCAAGAGAAGGCAGCAGGAAGAGCTAAAGACAACGATGGCAGTGGCAGCCACCCAGCCAGATGCCTTGGCCCTCCCCTCTGCTACTTCCCAGGAGGCACACACGCGAGCCCAGGTCCAGGAAGTCGGGGCACAGCCAGGGCGAGGAAAGACGCCTCACCTCCCCGGCGCCAGCATTGAGAACGGCGTTGATAAAGGACATGATGGCTGTCTTCAGGTTCACTTCATCCCGGTACCGGCCCAGGCTTCGGTCCAGTTCATTCAGCAGGGTCTGGATGGGAAGACAGCACGGGAGAGGAGGGGAGAACTCAGGATCCTAGAGGTCCAGCCTCTGTGCCTTTTCTCCTGCCATCCCAACCGCCAGAATGCCCCGTCCATTCTCTCTACCCAACTGTCCAACTTATCCGGGGCCTTCGCCACAGCTTCGAGAAGCATCCTTTGCCTCTCCACGCCTCGGTCCCAGCCCTGCCTTACTTCCTCTCCACCCGGCCTCAGGGTTGGGTGATTTTGCTGGGCCGTGCTGAAATTCTGCTCTGGCACCTTCCAGCTCCTCCACAGCACGGCCACTGCCTTTGTCTCTTTCTTATCTTCTGCAAAGGGCCAGGGGCCACTTTTCACACAGAGTCGGAGCTTAACAATGTTGGATGATAGAATAAACAAATAGCCTATCCTGGTGGATAAGCCACAGACTGTAAGGACAGTTCACGTGTATGGAGACTTACTCTATTCCAAGACACGTTATACTTATTGTCTACCTCACTGGCATGTGTCTGGGGCAGGCCAGGGAGAAGAAAAGAGAAGAGCCTGGCCTGAGCTCACAGGACTATTCCCAGGGTCCCCGTTGTAGGCACTGGCCAGGCACAGGGCCTAAAATCTTAAGCCCAACAATTGCATGAATTAGACAATTCTTCCCCGAGTCCCTCTAATGAGCCAGGTGCCGGGCTCAGAGAGACAGAGCCACGAGAATGAAACAAACCATTATCCCAGCCTCAGGGAACCCATGTTCTAGCAAGAAGTCCATTTCCTAGCCAAAGCCCTATCTCTTCAGGTCCCTCAGGTCCCTCTGCAAGCCGGCCATGGGCCCTCACCTGGAAGCGCGTGCGCTCAGCTGCGTACACCTGGTAGTGCAGCATGGCCTGCAGAACCTTCTTGTGGCCGCCGGGCACCAGGCACACGGCGCCCAGGATCTCCAGCACGGCCACCTTGGTCTTGCTGTTCTCCGTGCGCAGGCTCTGCGCGATGGTGCTGATGGCCTCGGGCTGCGCCAGCACGTGAGCCCGCCCCTGAGAGTTGTTCATCAGAGCCTTGATGCAGCCGATGAGGGAGGTGTGGATGCGGCTCTCGCAGGTGGCGTGGTCCATGCTCCGGAGGAAGTTCAGCAGACAGGTCAAGCCATCCAGCTCAATGAAGCGGGTCACGAACCTGTCCAGGCCAGAGCCGTTAGTGGAATGGAATGGGCATCCTGCACTTGCGTATTACTCTGTACAGCTATTTGCAAAGAGGCATCCCATGACCCCTGCTCCATTGTGTCCCACCTATAGTGACCACTGGCTCATCTACACAGTGTATCTAAAACACTGACATCCTAGCATGCTCACGGGGGACTCACATCTTGTTTGCATTTTATTTTTAAATATATTTTACTGATATTTTACAGAGAGGAAGGGAGAGAGATAGAGAGTTAGAAACATCGATCAGCTGCCTCCTGCACATCTCCCACTGGGGATGTGCCCGCAACCAAGGTACACGTCCTTGACCGGAATCGAACCTGGGACCCTTCAGTCCGCAGGCGGCGCGCCGCTCTATCCACTGAGCCAAACCGGTTTTGGCTTGTTTGCATTTTAAATACTGTTCGTTTGCATGTCATTGACTGCCAGTTGCAATCTATGGTGCTGTGCAAGGGAAGGCGATGATCATGCTAATTATTACAGTAACTATTAGGGCTATTAAACCTGAAGACTTATCTCCAGGGAGGATGGGAATTAAGAGAATTGCAGTCAGACAATAAGAAGGATTTCTCAACCATGGGTGGGTGAGTGGGTGAGGTGCATCAGAGTCAAAAGTCAAAGGGCCAAGGCTCCAGAAGGTACTCTGCTAGGGATCCTTAAGAAAACAGTAAAAACCATTTAGTTCAGTGGTTCTTAACCTGGACTCTGTCGATCTATGGCTAGCATTCAGGGGTCCAGGGACTTGGGTGGAAAAATAAAATTATACAGGCATACCTTGTTTTATTGCACTATGCTTTACTGTGCTTCACAGATAGTGCAAAGAGATTATGTCTTGCTGAAGGCCCAGATGATGGTTAGCATTTTTTAGCAATATAGTATTTTTTAAGGTGCATACATTGTTTTTTAGACACAATGCTAATGCACACTTAATAGACTACAGTATTGTAAACACAACTTTTATGTGCCCTGGGAAACCAAAATATTCATGTGACTCACTTTATTGTGATAGTCAGTTTATTGCCGTGGTCTGGAACCAAACCCACAATATCTCCGAGGTATACCTGTACTTTTATTTTTGGCAACCTTCAACTGAAATTTAGCAATTCCTTCCATGATAAATGAAGGCAATACATGTCAGTGGTATTAGCAGAATCTGTGACTTTGTCCCCAAAGAAATCAGAGTGATCTTCATATCAAGTTACAATCATTGTAGGCATCTCAAAATATCACTTTCACTCATCAGCACTTCCAAATGATTGCAGTTGCTAGTTCTTGCTATTTAAGGCACATTTATTGCTATCTCGCAAAATTTTAATATTTGGTAACTGTATTTCACTTTAATTGGCTTGCTTTTGTTTTTATTCCCATCTAATTTTATTTTATTTGACTATTTAAAAAAGTAATGAATACATTTGATCCCAAAGTATATTTGTGTGTATTTCTACATTACACAAATAGGCCTAGAAAAATAAAATTTACTCTCAAATTAAGTTGTTAAAATAGTGTTATTTACACTATTACAGGTTTTTCTATTCCACAAAATTGCCACCATGACCTTGTGTAACTTTTGCCGTCAGAGGTATACCCGGGGAAAGAAAATAAACTGAATGGGACACAGACCTGGAAACGTCCCCTTAACCCCGTTGCTTCCTGACCCTCATCCTTCCGGCACCTCCTTCCCATTCCAGACCCCCCTCCTCGCCCCGCAATCTGAGAGACAAGTGGAAAATAGGATGTTCCATTCTCCTTGAGGCTCTGTTTCCAGGCTCCTGGGGTGAGAGCTCAGTCCAGACAACACACACACACACACACACACACACTCACAGACCAGTACTAGTAAATGTTAAAAGACTGGCTCTCTGGAGAAATTTAAAAAGGCCTGATTGTAGTGTTTGCCAGTTTCCATGGTATAAATGCTCCCAGCATAGCCGATTTCAAGCCACCAATGTGACCTCCTTGAACGTGGAGTTGGGAAGAGATGTGCCATTTATAGTGTTTCCATCAGGCATATACAACAGGCGCAAACTCGAGCATAAGTGATAGTGAAGATTATACATTATAGTAAAATGGGGTCTGTAAAATCATTAGGTAATTAGGGAGTGATAAATTTCGAGTATTTATTACCTTTGTTTTTGACGCAAATTAATCATAAATTTATATTAAGTTACATTTTAGTCATAACTGTGTATAACATAGTTTGCAAAAATGCTAAAAATTGAACACTTGGCTCTCACAAACTGGTGTGAGCCCGTTCCCAGGCACAAGAAGAACCCGTGGCTCTTGCCCCCTCTTTGGACCCTTGTACTATGTGGCCTGGGGAGTGGGGGTTCTTCTCCAGCCTTTGAGGCACCCATCCCCTTTGCCAGGCCTTTTTTATTGCTCCCACTCTGGTGGTGACATCTCATCCATGGACACCACAGCTCCCCCTAGTGGCTGGAGTATTTCTCACCCACACTCCGGAGACCTCATCCTCAGAGCTCTTTCTTATAAGCCTTGAACGTATGGCTCCTTTCCTTCCTGCTCTATTCTCCCAAGAAAAGCAAGTACTTGTCCTCCATATCTCCTTGGATAGCTCTTACAAAGACCCAAGATGTATTCCATCTTCCTGTGTTCATCCCCCCTCCTCCCCAGCTTGTCCATCTTCAGCTCCTCAGAGAAAGGGAGTGTGGGAGCTGGAATGAGGTCAGCTCCAGGGGACGCTGGGGGGAGGAGCTGGCCAAGGGGACCGGGATGGGAAGTGATTGGCGCTTTAGGAAGTTGAGGGGAGCACTGGGCGAAGGGCAGTGGAAGGAGGCGAGGGAAGGAGGAACACACCTCATGGGCTGCGTCCGGAGAGCCGTCTTCAGGGCTTCCACCACTTGGTTCCTCATCTCTATCTCCTCCTCATCGAATTTGTACAGACTCTGCATCTGAGGCAGGTACAGAGCGCGAGGTCATGCTGGGCTCCGTCTCCCAGCCCCTGCGCCCCCACCCCCGGTGTGAGGGGCCACCCTGGCCTCAGGAAGGGTGAGACCAGGGAATGGTTGACTAAGACAGACTGTCAGACTATGAGAAGACACAGGTTCTGGCCTGGACTTCACATTCCTCATCTGTAAAATGGGGAGAATTATTGGCCCAGCCTTCCTCCCAAGCTTCCGTGGCAAATAAGTGGTTAAATGGTAGGGACACTCTGAAGTCACATGGAGAAGGGAGAGATGATGACAGCATCTTGGGCTCTGATCCCAGTGGGCGGGGTGTGAGGTGCAGGGGGGAGATGATGGAGGCTCACTTGCCCCCATAGCCTCTCAGGTGGGACCAGGGTAGGAGAGGAGCGCCACTCACCGCAGCCATGGAGTTGATGCGGTCAATGTAATAGTCAGGCCAGCTGGTCGCCATCTTGTTGGGGTCCTCCTGCTCCTGGAACAAGAAGACTTGTAAGGACCAACCAGCAAGGCAGGCCGTGGCCCGCGGTCCTCAACTTCAGTCCCCGGGCACTCATTCCCCAGCCCCACCTAGAGAGAGGCGGCAAGGGAATCACTCAGTCTCCCAGCTTCCCTTTCTGCCTCAGCAAAATGTGGCTAATAAACCCCGAATCTCACTACCAGCCAGTGACATGGGCAGAAACCAGGCAGGTATATACACGTTCAATGAACAATATGTGCAATTAAAAATAAAGTCATTTTTCCTTTTTATATTTCTTCTGACCCTATTTCACAAAATATAATTTTATGTCTGTTGAAGCTAATAAAAATTTGTGCTGGTATGCTATATCTCTTTTTGTTTTGTTTCAAATTTTATTTTTCTGATAATAGCCTCATTGTATTCTACCAAAGTATTTTGGTCTGTGATGGTTTGGGAATTTAAAAACTTGGTCTCTCTCTCCCAGATAGTTTGAGAAGCATTGATATAAAAGCATTTGATGCAGTTCCTAACACATAGTAGGTGCTCAATAAATAATGACTTTACAAAAAGAGGAAAAGACCCTGGTTTGGGGAAGACTCAGGAGGGGTCTGTGGAGCTGAGAGGCAGGGCCCGGAGCAGAGGGCCTTTGGCCCAGCTGTCAGGTACCAAGAAAAAGCCCCAATCCTCCCCCAGTGGACAAGAAAGATGGGAGCTGGATAAACATCTGTGCTGACTGAAAACCCAGGCCTCCCCTCTGCCAGTGGGTCTGCTTCTGGGCATTACCCAGCCCCTGCTCCCTCCTGTCCCTGTCCCCGTCCCATTTGGCTGCTCCTACCGGCTTCTCTTTGCCAAATCTCTGCTTCCAAATCAGCATGAAATTTACCTCCTCCAGAGCCTCTCTGCCAGCTGGCTTGGACTTTACCCTGAACCTCTCAGCTCTGTCCACTCGGGCTCCAGGATTTAGTTTCATAAAATGCAAATTTTAGACAAGTGGGAAAGCTGTCGTGACTTGGTCTTTGTGACTTCATGTGACTTATCTGTATTAAATCCCCATGCCTGAGGCCCCCAAATTCTATCTTCTACCTTGCAGAAGGGATCACAAAACCCACAGCAAATCCATCATAAAACACATGTTTCCCTGCCTTATTTGCTGGCTCATCCTTTATCCACTTCATATGCATTTAATGAGCACTTACTACATGCCAACCACTGCACTGAGTCTTGAAAGTACTGAGCAAAAAGTCATAATCTGTGTCTTCATAGTGTCAGAGGCGCGGTGACAAACGCTCTCTGGAAGAACTGTCCCTAGGGGGCCACCGAAACCTTGGGGGACATCGAACAGCCCAGGCTCATGAGGGGTGAGGCGGTGGGGCTGGGGACTGGCTGAGTTACTGAGGATGACTGAAGCGAAGACAGTGGAGAAGGCGCTGCAGACAGGAAGCCCGGTGTGGAAAGCATGGGGTGTGACCATGGGTGGGGAAATTGCACACGATTTCATTTGGAAGAGAGAGAGAGAACTCCTTACTTTTTTAATAACTTGTTTAAAATATTTTAGCTGTATAAGAGATCGACTTAAAGGAACTCCACGGTAACTCAATTTGGAAAGTGGGGAATCATGGGACAGGATTAATTACTCCCGAAATTAATTTTCTCATCCCTCCCTCCCTTCCTCCCACGACTTGTGTTTTTTTTTTAAGACGTGCTTTTCTGAGAGTGAGATTCATAGACACAGAACGTGGTATTCTGCAGGTGCTTAATGCATGTGCATTGAGTGCAGCAGACAGTGACTTGCAGTGTGTGCAGCCCACGCAGCTCACCACAGGTCCGCAGACCCAGCAGGCGGGGCTCTAGCCAGGGCGCAGCCATAGCAGCGGTGGGTCTGGCTGAGCCACTGCCTCGCGAGGCTTTTCTCGCCTCATGTGCAGAATAAAGGACTGGACTGGACTGGACTGTTGCTCAGTGCCTTCCAACTCTAAAGGGTGAGTGACGCTAGGCCCCCCGCCCCCATTTCACAGGCAGCCTCTTGGTGCGGGGCTCTGCCAGGTTCTAACCCCCAAACACCTGCACACCGAAGTCAAAGGGAGAAGCTGCAAGTCTGAGAAATCGGAGAGGGGAGGGAGAGAGGAAAGGGGTCAAGAAAAGGAAACCAGACTGAAAGAAACAGATGGGCTCACACAGGGGGCAAGAGACACACAGAGAGAAAGAGATGAGCGAAAGAGACACAGAGATGGAGAAAGGAAGGGGAAGAGAGAAGAAACGTGGAAGGAGGAGATAAAATCCAATTAAGCCCTGACTGGAGCCGCACACCCCTTTCTAGGGAGGACCAGGGTCAAATGAACTAGAGGCGAGAGGGGGGGGGGGGGGGGAGGGGAATTAAGCCCTGACTGGAGCCGCACACCCCTTTCTAGGGAGGACCAGGGTCAAATGAACTAGAGGCGAGAGTGGGGGGGGGGGAGAACGGGACCCATGTGTGACCTTTTTGTGTGACCCTGACAGGCATGCTGGCCTGTGAGGCTGAGCCTGAGACAGGGCAGGGCGGGTGCTGAAGATGCCCCTCCCCCCCAAACTGGTCCTCACAACACAGCCGTCCCACCTACGGCCCAGGGTGGCCTCCCTCCAGGTGCGGTCAGGCATGGAAGGGAGTCTAGACCTGTGGTCTGTGTGCCTCCCTAACCAGCCCCCTTCCTGGGTCCCAGCAGGCACCTGCTTAAAGGGCTTTGGAAAAACAGAACCTATTTCCTGAGTGTGCGCTCCGTGAGAGCAGGGATTTTTTTTTTTTTTTGTCCTGATTTATTCACTGTCGTCCCTCCAACACCTAGCCCGGAGCTGTGTATAACAAATACACCCGGAGCTGTGGACCCTGAGCTGCGGCGGGAGGGTGAGAGGGGGCACCTTCTTCTTGCTGCAGTAGATCTGCCATTTCTTCTCAGGGGGCAGAGCAAACACCGCCTCCCGGTTCTTGTCGGTGAGATCCAATTCATCCTGCAAAGACAGCGAGAAGAGGCGTCTGCATCCAGAGATGAATACTCAGCCCTTCAGGAGATAACAAGGCCCCCAACCTATCCCTCGGCCTCCTGCCTCCTCCCAGAGGATCAGAGGGATGACAGGGCAATTCTTCCTCCTGGAAACACAGCCCGTGTCCTGGAGTCAGCCCAAGCCTGTGCTGCTTCCATCCACACTCACCCTGCACCCGTCTCCCCACTCCTCACCCCGCTGCCCCTGCAGACCCACCTCCTCATCCAGCCCTGCACATCCCTGCAATGCTTTGCAGTCCTTAATCCTCTTACCAGGTTTCTTGTCTTCCTTCCCTTGTCCTTCTTAAACTTGTCAACACATAAGTCAAGGCCAGACAAGGAAAGGAGCATTTCTACAGGTCCATCCTGCAAGTCTCCCTGACCTGTCAGTCTCTCCTGCAGAAATTCCTGGCTCCTCTGACCTCCACATGGGCCCCAGCACAGGCTGGGGAGCTGGGGAGGTGAAGGCGGAGCCGCTCTCCTGGCAGGAAGGGCACACCGTGCCAAGGGAGGCGGTGCCCTGCTTCCTGGAGATGTCCCTGCCAGAGGCGGCCCCTGTACCCACATGACCCCCAGAAAAGGCTGGGGTTCCGGCAGGCCAGGCCATGCTTCCTGAGGGGAACCGAGGCGTTTCCGACATCATCAAACTCAGGGTAGCTCTCTGGGTAGTTTGGGGTGACTTTATAGGTGTGTCTGTGTGGACAGCAGCCAAAACACTCCCTTCTTGAAGGTTTTCATATGTGACTCAAGAGCGATGCTCAGCTTCACCTAAACAGTGGTTCTCAACCTTCTGGCCCTTTAAATACAGTTCCTCATGTTGTGACCTAACCATAAAATTATTTTCGTTGCTACTTCATAACTGTAATGTTGCTACTGTTATGAATCGTAATGTAAATATCTGATATGCAGGATGGTCTTAGGCGACCCCTGTGAAAGGGTCATTCGACCGCCAAAGGGGTCGAGACCCACAGGTTGAGAACCGCTGACCTAAGACATAGCTAATGGGCCGGGGGAACACAGCACGCTTCTCAACTCAGCACCCAGAGGTTTTAAATCAAAAGCAAAACTCGCATTAAGATAACAAAGCTCAGCATTACTAACCTTTTCATTTTTAACAATGATAAACAGTGAGAGTAGCTTCTAAATTGCATAAGGGTCTGAAATATCAATATCCATACTCTTGTCCCTATACTTTTATTTAGTTAGTTATTTTATGTTTTTATTGATTTTGGAGAGAGGAAGGGAGAGAGATAGAGAGATAGAAACGTCAATGAGAGCCCTAGTCGGTTTGGCTCAGTGGATAGAGCGTCGGCCCTAGGACTGAAGGGTCCGGGTTCAATTCAGGTCAGGGGCACATGCCTGGTTGCGGGCTCGATCCCCAGTAGGGGGTGTGCAGGAGGCCAGCCAACCAATGATTCTTTCTCATCATTGATGTTTCTATCTCTCTCTCCCTCTTCCTGCTTCTCTGAAATCAATAAAAATATATTATAAAAAAAGAAAAGAAACATCAATGAAAGAGAAACATTGATTGGCTGCCTCCTGCACGCCCCCTACTGGGGAATGAGCTCACAATCTGGGCATGTGAGTCAGTGAGGGATCTAACCAGTAACTTCTTGGTTCATGGGTCCATACTCAACCACTCAGCCAAACCAGGGGGATTCCCTATGCTTTTATTCACGAGAGAACATTTAAGATTTTCCTTCACCTGGCTCAAGACTGCCCAATAGGAATATCATGTGAGCCACATGTATTTTTAAAATTTTCTAGGCACATTAAAACATTAAGAAATAGGTGAAGTTAATTTTAATAACACATTTTATTTACCCCCAAATATCTAAAATATGATCATATCCACATGCCATCAAGGTAAAGAAATCATCAGTGAGGTCTCTGGCATGAAATCTGGTGTGTATTTGACCCTAACAACTCATCCCAGTTCAGACCACCACATGCCAAGTGGCCAGCAGCCTGTGTGACCAAGCCTGCCACCTTGGACAGCACACGAAGGTGATTTGAAACACTGCCCATCAGTTCACCTGGCTTTGGAAACAGACTCCTGCAGATCTAATAAACAAAGGTTCTTCCTAGAACCACGCTCCACACATCCCAGGCGTGTCCTTAGTCAGAGTTCCCAGAGCCCCGCTCGAGGTCCCTGCAGTGCTCCTGCTCCCGGGTCAGAGTCAGAGATGTTCCGATTCCCAGCACCACCTGCCTCTCTCTGCCTGGCTTACACAGTCAGCTCCCCCCAGACCGCCCTCCCTGCCCGCCCACCCGCGGACAGCCTCATTCTCAAGCTCAAGGTCAGCCTCTTCTCAGGTAAGAATGCCTCTTCCTTCCTGAACTCCAGAATGGTCATATTCAGCATTGCATTGTGGTTATTTGTCTTTTCTCGCCAGTGGCCCCTGTCACTAAATCAATGGCTATTTCTTGGTGACTTGGCTCAGGACAGATAGCCCTGACTCTGTGACCCAATCACTCCTTACTGAAACCCTCTGCCCTGATGCAACGAGCATGTAAACTGAGTTCATCATCCCAACCCCCAAAACTCGAGTCTCCGCGGGCATATCCTGTCCGGTACAGGGTCCAACACCCACCCAGTTCCTCATGTCAGAATCATGGGTGTTCCTTGATTCCTACTCACTCACCCAACGAGTCCTATTGCAGTTTCTCCTGAATAGCTCTTGAATCTCTCCACTTCCCTCCACCCTCACTGCTAACACAGGTCCCAGCCACCACTCTCCCAGCATGGACTGCACCAAGAGCCTTCGAATGGCCCACCCAGCGCCCTTCTTCAACAGGGGACCCTGAATGGTCGTTTAGAACAGCAGATCAGGTCACCTGGAAGCCCTGCTTAAAGCCTCGGGGGCTCTCTGTAGAAATAAATCCAAAGACTGTTATTCTCATCGCCGTGGTGTCCCCCAAAAGGACCTGCTCTTTTCAGTGGGGGCCCCTCTGTGATGGTTCTGCACCCCCATTCACTTATCTAACCATCACTCTGTGTTCAGATCTCAGTGGCAATGTCACTGCTTCAGGGGGACCTTCCTGACCCCCATTCTAGAATAAAGCTCCCTGCTAGACACTCCATGGGCCCACTGAACATTCCCTAATACTTATCACACCGGTCAGACTGTTCAAGTTCAGTCTGCCCTACTGTCAGCGACGACTGTGCCTGTTGGCTCATCATTAAACCCCTGTCCCTCTGGGCCCAGCACACAGCAGTCTCCCAATAAACACTTTTTTCATTTATTTTTCAATAACCGACACTAGTCTCCTCACAGACAAGACTTCTCGGACTCATTCTTGCTTTGCCAGCTCGCCTTGTTAGAAGCCCGGCTCACAAAAGGTACTCTGTGAATACTTGCTGAATCAAAGGGCCAGAGGCAGGAATTTCTCTCGTCATGTCCTCCTATCAAAACTCATGCCTTCTGACCAAGAAAACGTCCCTGCCTGTGACAGCGCAAGGGATACACTTTTGATCTTTGTTCCCAGTTCCTAGCACAGAGCTCCTAAATCCCATGGAATTTCCTGGGTGATAAGAGCTTCTTTTCCTCGATTGACGTAAGAATGAAGCAACTCCACTAGTGGTGGGACCTAGATTGCCTCCGGATGGGGGCTGGGCACCAGAAAGATCAAGCCCTGACTAGAAGCCTAGCACTTTCAGCCTCGCCTAACAAACTCCAGAGGGAGGAGACAGGTGGGAGATTGAGCTAAAACCTGATCATGACATGATGAAATTGCCATAAAAGTCCCTAAATGGCAGGACTCGGAGCCTCCAGGGTGTTGAACCCATTCAGACGCTGGGAGGGTGCTGCACCCCAAAGTCCACAGGGACAGAGGCTCCTGTGCTAGGGACAGGAGCCTCACTGTCCTTACCCTGCTGGGCCTTACTCTATGCACCCCTTCATCATTGGTATTCTTCATAACATCCCTTATAAACTGGCATTAGTAAGAAAAGTGTTTCCCTGAGTTCTGTGGGCCATTCAACAAATTACTGAACCTGAAGTGGGGGTGGTGGAAACCCCCAATTTGTAGCCAAGTCGAACAGCAGTGTGGGTAACCTGGGAACTCACTAGCTGTGATTGGTGTATGAAATGGGGAGCAGTCGTGTGGGCTGAGCCCTCAACCCATGGGGTCTGTGCTAATTCTGGGTAGCTAGTGTCAGAAACGAGTTAAACTGTGGGACACCCGCTGTTGTCCGCAGAGAACTGGAATTGCTTGGTGTGGGAACCCACACGTGGTGGCAGCAACATTCTGAGTGAAAACAGATCTTAGCGGCGCTGACTAACGCATCGGGCTCCACATGTTAGTCCACACTAGGAAACGCTTGCTCTCTCCCAACCTCACCCTATCCTGAGAGAAGGGCATAAATTAAGGCAGCAACGAGTATTCCTAAACCGGATATGATGAGGAGGGCGGGCAACGTTTTCACATAACCTTCATGTTCTCATCGGTTAGCGTCCTGTTATTTTAAGGGCTAGATGGCCTTAATCAGATACGTCTATTATCGAATGCAAGTGTGATATCTCATTCCGAATCACACAGCATCATCTCTATATTGGTCAACCAGGAGCATGAGTGATCTGGAGCTCACGGTAGGTAGACAGGCTCCAGTAGATGGGCTTGTGCCTGTCACTCTGCCCTACGGCAGGGCTCAGGTCTGAATTCTGGGTACAGGTCCTACATCCCTGGTCTGGGCTTGCCTGGGCCTGCAGGCTATCTCACCAGCACACCTCCCATGAGCGGAATCATGCTTCTTTCCTGCTCTGCCCCTTTGTGGTAGAGGAGAAGTTTCTCACACACAGCGGTTCCCACAAAGGCACACGGCTATTGCTCTGGTCCAGGTGGGCATCAGAGAGAAGGGCTGATGCCAGTGTGAACGGCAGGGCTGCTGCCTCCCTAAGGCTGGGCGTGGGATACAGTCATCCCCGGCCCCAGGCAGCTCCAGGTGCCATGCAGGCATCCCCATCTCCATATTGCTAGCCAGTCATCACTGTTCTGGGGTGCCCAGTGTCTGCCTACAGAATCCCACCCTGCCTCTTCTTCCTGCGCCTGGGGTAAAAGGATCAGGGAAATCCAAGATCAGAGAGAAGGTCAGGTTCGGATGCTCTCTGAGCTCTCACTGCCTCATTTCACAAAAACCTGGACCTGCTCTTTCCACGGTGGCCCAACTGCTGTCCGTTAAGTCTAGAAGCCCAAGCAGAAATGAGGTAGGTCCGCTCTTCTGGGGATGCATTGCCTGGTGAGTGGTCTGCTGCTCCCATACAGCTCGGGTGTCCTGGGGGCCCACCTCAGCGCCACTCAGAGCTTCAGAGGTTACGATCCCAGCACACGGGCCCCTGCCCTCTGTCTTGCTCTGCCTGCTCCAGCCACTCCCCTCCTTGTTGCCATCACCTTCCCAGCCCCTCACTCACCACCAGCTCTGCGAAGCGGACGTTGAGCTCCTCCGTGTTTGGGATGGGACCGGAGAACTCCAGGTACTGCAGAGGGTTATTGTCCCGGAGGTTGATCTCGGGGAGGTCGCTGCCCCCAAAGCAGCACAGGAAGCCCAGGCCATGGCGACTCCTCTTGCGGGGGGCCATGGTCACTGCAGGCCAGGGGGACAGTCAACAGGCAGGTGCCCTAGGTCCTCATCGTGATCTGAGTAGGGGAGCAGAGAGCACAGAGTGGTCAGACATGGCAGCCCGGTGGGCGGGGACAGTGGTCCCTCTGCCACCATAACTTCTTTGTTCAACTGTCAGGAGCCCTCAACCCAACAGCCAAGCATTTCTCTGGCTCCTTCTACCTGGAGGCATTTCTTCCTCACTGCACCCTCTCAGTGTTTCCTGACACACACTTGCAGATTCCTACTCTGTGCCTCTAGGGAAGAGGATGGGTGTAGTCCCAAACTGGACTCTCAGGAGGTCAGAGAGGGCCCTCATCTTGCCTCTCCCATCACGTCAGGGAATCCTATTCCCTGATGTTGGCAGACCCACACCCAGCAGGGCTCACTCACTCATTTCATTCATCCTGGGGTTTGGGGATACCTAGTTTAAAGGTTTCATACAACGGGGAGGGAAGGGTTAAGGTATTTTAAGTATTGGTTCTTAGCTGCTTCTTCTGGATTTAGGCCATGAACAGAATGATCAGAATGTGTCCATGGTCTTTACTCACATCATTCCTAAAAATGCTGAACACAGCAAGGATACAAACAGACCTAGATGGGAATGGCAAAGGACTAGTCCACTCTCAGGGAACAGTCCTCCAACCAGCTCTTGATCCACAAACCATGTAGTTACCCAGCCCTTTCCTGTAAAGACACCGGAGGAGACGCTCCCTGAAGTCTGGTGGAACTGAGCTAAGCCTAACCTAAGGTATTTCTTTGAACCAAGCCCTAGAACCTGATCAAGAAAAAATAAGTGAAATGTGGCATAACCTGTTCCTAGTAAAGGCAAGGTAACTTCTGGAGAGCACTGCTTTGTCTCCTAAGCCCTAACCATTTCACTACTAACTTAGCCATCTGATCTGGCCTCTCATATAAGTCATGATGCATTTTAATTGTCATCCTGGAGCTTTTATATTTCTTTATAAACTTTGTGACAGGATAGCCTCAAATAGCATATACCCAAGGCTGCCTGTGTTGTGGGTTGTCTACTATGTATTTACATATTGGCTCAGCACAGCCACAGTGAAGACAGGGCCATGCCTTCTGCTTCTCTGACCACCTCCCCCCAATTTCTATAGCTAATAAAATGCCTTGCACTTAATGTTCAAAAACTATTTTGTGGTCAATTGAAAAACAACCAACCTGTGTTTTCACAGGAGGAAAGGGGTCCTTATCAATCGGTCAAGAAATCATGATTGAGCCCTAACCAGTTTGGCTCAATGGATAGAACATCGGCCTGCGGACTGAAGGGTCCCAGGGCATGTACCTTGGTTGTGGGCACATCCCCAGTAGAGGATGTGCAGGAGGCAGCTGATCGATGTTTCTCTCTCGTCGATGTTTCTAACTCTCTATCCCTCTCCCTTCTTCTCTGTAAAAAAAATCAATAAAATATATTTTAAAAAAAGAAATCATGATTAAAATCTCTGACTTCTAGTCATTGATAAGCGAACTGGAACACTTGTAGGAAACAAGGGAACAATCTTGAAATTGGGAGTAGAGAAAGCAGCAGGCAGGCTAACACAGCAATCCTGGTACATGGTGGCAAACCCGGAATAGGTGGCGCTGAGGAAAACAGGAGAGCAAGGGAGGCCATAGGACTTGTCAGCCAAGAGTGGATGAGACAAAGCCCTGGTCCTCGACTCTCAGGCTTGGCAAAGCAACAATTCTGCAGGCAGATGGGGTGGACTACCCTGGGAGTCCCCTGCCCATTGTCAAGTTTGGGATGATGAGGCAGAGTACAGACCAGGTCCCCCTTTTTTCCACCAGCCTTCAAAATGAAGCTTCAGCCGGCGGGCAAGACTGCTCTGCTCAGGGCACAAAGCTTAGGCAGGAAAGAGGCCGTGGTGAGGCTGGGTTGATGGCATGATGGGGTTTGGGGAGAGATGAGCTGGTGTCTGGGAGGACCTGTGAACTCTTTTCTGCATTCACCGCCTCAACTTCTTCTCGCTCCCCCAGTCTCCTTTCTTGTCCTTCTTTGCCCTTCACCCTCTGAGCCAGGCTTTGCCAGGAGGAAGCCGTGGTGGGGGGCAGGGCAGGCATACAGCTAGTATACCCTGTTAGTCTTACACCAGCTGTTTACAGCTGTGACTTCTCTGGTTAGTTGGTGCCATGCCATACCTTAAATATATATTTTGGTTATTGGTTAATTCTCACCTGTAAATATATTTTTCATTGCTTTTCAGAGACAGTGGAAATGAGGGAAGGAGAGGAAGGGAGACAGGAGAGAAAGAGAGACATTGATATGAGAGAGACACATAGATTGGCTGCCTCCGGTATGCGCCCCAACTGGGGTCAGGGATTGAACCTGGAACCCAGGTATGTGCCTTTGACTGGGAATCGAACCTGTGATCCTTCAGTGTGTGGCCAATGCTCTAACCACTGAGAAACACTGACCATGGCTTTCCTTAAATATTTTTAATGTCTCCCCTGATTATAAGGAGTGATGGGGAGTGGCCTCAGGAGGAAGGAGGAAGTAGACCCAGAGAAGGGCCTGCACACCCAGGGGAATGCTGTATATCTGCCCCTTTAAGGGGAGGCCTGTTTGACAGCTGCTGAGTATGTTTCTATTTCTGAGGACGTCCTCCTCCCCATGAACCCCTTTAAGTTTGTTGCTGCCTCTCTTTCTTAGGGACACATCGAAGCATCGGAAACTAAAGCCACAGACATTCAGCTGGAAATTATCTAGCTTCATGGAGAGATCAGAAAACTACAGTTCAAAGAAGAAATATCTTATCTGGGTCTCACAGGTGAGGGACAGAGCTGGGATTGAACCCCAGTGTTCAGGCTGTTGTCTGACTTACCACACCAGAGCTTGCCTTCCCGCATCAATGGCCCTTTTACCCACGGCTCCAGCCCCTAGTAGCCTCCCCCACTCGAGAAGACCAATCTCCACAGCTTAGTTTAGAAATAGCTCCGGTGTCAAAGGTCTCCTCTAGACCAGGAAAGGGTCATGAAGATTCCAAAGGCCACCTGATTTTCTTCCATCAGGAGCAACAGCTTCCACCTGCCACCACCCCGAGTTCCCATCAACCCCTGCTGTAACCCCTCCTCCACCTGAACAGAGTCTTCGAAGTGGGAGGAACTGGGATTTGACTCCTGGCTGGTGACCCTGAGTATGTTTCATGAAGTCTTTACCTCTCAGAACCTCCGGTTTCTCAACTGTGACACCGAGATAATAATGATAGCATCTTCCCCACTGGGTTTTGGTGAAGAAAAAAGGAGGTAACATAAATGAGATGCCTGGATCACACTGGACCCTCACTGCTGCTGCGGCTTCAATGGCATCATCACAGCAAGGTGACTGCCTGACCCAGAGCCTCAGCCAGGAGCCCTCCTCCAGACGTGGATGGGCCACCAAGCCGGGCATCGTAGAAACAAGCCCAGTCAGATTTAAGCCACCTGGCTTAACCTCTGGTAACTGGGAAGTCTGACCCAGAGGATCTGACTTCTCCTCAGGCTCTGAGCTACCTCCAGATGGAAAGGTAAACCCTTGCACTCACCCTGGGCAGGGAGGAGGGAAGGTGGAGGTGACCACAGAGTCATTTCTGCAAAACCCCGTCCCCACATTAGAAAAGTATGAGAAGCAATGCAGAAAAACAGGTAGCAACAACGGAACAAAATCCAGTGGACTTGAACTTGGGCCAGAGGGATTTAACCTGCTCCCACCACCAGCCACCTTTCTCTCCATGGAAACTTCCCCAATACCAACAGCTCCATGTCCTCCCTATCCTGTCTCCTTGCCCCATCCCTTTCGTCTCCTGTGGGGACAAGGTCTTCCAGGACTGTTAGTCCCTAAACACAGACCAACCAGCACCCTAAGGCACCAAAACATCTGGTCACCACCAGTTAGCCCTCCTGTGACTGTCAGGGGTCTCCTCCAGCCTCGGGCTCCTGCCAGACTTCCCCTCCTTACTGCCATCCTTCCACATTGTGGAGAACACAGATGTCCTCTATTCAGGAGACCAGAGCTTGTTACCAGTCAGCGGTGGGGCAGGGGGTCATGGTGTTATCCTAGCTGGGCCTCAGTTTCCTCTCGGTGCAGTGGCAGGGTTGGTCTGAAGAACTCCCAGAGCCCAGTCAGCCCTGACCTTTCACACTGTCTGATTTGATCTCATTCCCAAAGATTCCCCCAGGGCTCTCAGCCTCCACTGCGTGCTCCTCCCACATTCCGCCCGAGCCAGGAAGCACTTCCTATTGCGTGAGTGCAGTGCTCCCATTTGGTCTGGAAAGATGAAAATCCTAACCCTTACCCTCAAGCCCTAGCCCCCAGGCCCTCTACGCACCAGTTTTTGCATTAATTAGGACTTCAAAAGCCCTGTATCATCATCAGTGCTTACTCTTAACTCATAACTAAAAGCAGAATAATATTTTTACAACTGGGACTTTGGTATATTCCACACACTGGGTTATATCTACATTTCATCCCCACCACAACTCTCTGAGATAGGTGGCATCATTTTAAAGAAGTTAGTGAAAGAAACAAGAAAAAACTGCTGTTCAGAGAAGTTAAGTAACTTGCCTCAAGACACACAGCTAGTTATGGCATAGGTAGGCTTCAAACACATGACTTTGACTCTAAAGCTATAAACCACTAAGCCAGTGGTTCTCAACCTTCCTAATGCCGCGACCCTTTAATACAGTTCCTCATGTTGTGGTGACCCCCAATTTTATTGTTACAAATTGAACATAATTGAAGCATAGTGATTAATCACAAAAACAATATGTAATTATATATGTGTTTTCCGATGGTCTTAGGCGCAACCCCTGTGAAAGGGTCGTTTGACCCCCAAAGGGGTCATGACCCACAGGTTGAGAACCGCTGCACTAAGCCATAGGGCACATGTCAAAGGAATGCCCATATCTTAGGCTTGCTCAGAGCTTTCTCAAGAGTTCTATAAGCCCCAACTCAATCACTCGTAACTGAGTATTTCCTATGAGCTGGGCCAGGTGTTTGCCTAGCTCTGAGGTCTCATTTCAGCTTTGTGATGTTCCTTGT